AAAGCGTTTGTGTGTAAAAGTGTCTGTGTGTAAAAGCGTCTGTGTGTAAAAGCGTCTGTGTGTAAAAGCGTCTGTGTGTAAAAGGCTCTGTGTGTAAAAGCGTCTGTGTGTAAAAGTGTCTGTGTGTAAAAGAGCCTATGTGTAACAAGCGTCTGTGTGTAAAAGCGTCTGTGTGTAAAAGCGTCTGTGTGTAAAAGCGTCTGTGTGTAAAAGTGTTTGTGTGTAAAAGTGTTTGTGTGTAAAAGCCTCTGTGTGTAAAAGCGTCTGTGTGTAAAAGCGTCTGTGTGTAAAAGACTGTGTGCAAAAGCGTCTGTGTGTAAAAGCGTCTGTGTGTCAAAGCGTCTGTGTGTAAAAGCGTCTGTGTGTAAAAGCGTCTGTGTGTAAAAGCGTCTGTGTGTAAAAGTCTCTGTGTGTAAAAGCCTCTGTGTGTAAAAGCGTCTGTGTGTAAAAGCGTCTGTGTGTAAAAGTCTCTGTGTGTAAAAGTCTCTGTGTGCAAAAGCGTCTGTCTGTAAAAAGTTCTGTGTATGAACAACTTTACAAAAATACGATGCAAACTATTGTCTTGTACTAGTCATATATTGTCTTGATACTACTCTTCTCGTCTGCCTATAATACATCTTTAATATATTATCTTGTAATATAGTGCCTCCATACTAACAACAGAAGACTCTGCTCCTCTACGCTCTCGGGCCATCCGTCGTCTAGTTGTTGGGAGGATATGGCAATGTGGTAAAGACTATCATCGGCCATTCTTTAGATATTCTAAAAGCAATACCTGGCGTCAGTTGGGTAACGGGTAGCTGGGATATGGTGTATAGTTTGGTTTGCCACGTCACAAGTAGTGGATTGACCATTGCGATGTTTGATTACCGAAGGGTAGTTGCAAATTTGTTCCCGTGCAGCTGTCCTTGGTTTGCTGTGGATTCTTCACTTATATACCTCCATTTTGGAGGGCTACTATTCCGTAATGGAAACCTCATGCTGAGCAGATTTTGCATGATTTTGCAACAATTCAAGCTCCAGTTTTTTTGGGGGGTATACGGTATACCCTACCATACCTCAAGTTGATTTGTTGCACTTTTCTTTAACTGCAAAAATATATGTTTTAAAACTGATTTTCCATGGGCGACTCTATGGCCAACGTGTCGGACGTGTCGCTTAATAGCTGGCCCAATTGGTGGGATCTCTCGTCAGCTAGGACCTGATAGCGCCTTTGTGGCCTTCAATTTCTCGGGCACTCCAGGTGCGAAGCGGAGAGCGGAGCCAATGGATCAACTCTCTGAAAAGATCCCCCCTATGTGCAATGACATTAACATTGTTTTATCATGTTATATCATGTTTTTGCAGTGCAAGTGTAGGAATAAGTATTGACAAATCCAGTATGATGTATGAAGTATGCAGTATGATGTATGCCCTATCATGATGATGATTCTGATGGTTCTGATGCTGATGATGATGATGATGGTGATGATGAGGATCAGGATGAGACGACGACGACGACGATGATGATCATGATTCATGATGATGAGTCTTCGGATTGAGCGTGGGGATGCCTGCACTATCGGCCACCGGCCACCGGCCAGCGGCCACGCAAAAAAAAACTATCCCCGATGCCTGTGGGTTTACTCAAATCCCAGCCCTGTTCGCAGGATCAGAGGGCCTCAGTTTCTACCAGAAGACCGTGAGCCAAGAGGCATTGGATACTTTCAGGATCGGGCCCTCAGGATCCCTATTTTTGGCTAAGCCATCATTTTTTATGGTTAAACCATGTACCTTTATTGATGGGTTAAACATGGTTAAACCATGTTTCATGGTTTCATCACATCCAGATTATCATCCCAAAGAAGGAAATATAATACCATCCCTTCATATTATATAAATACAACCATTCCCCCAAATATGTGTACGCTCATAAATTCCCTGTTAAACCATTTTTGGGGAGGGTGTCTAGTATTAGGGGGAAAGGATCAGTTGGTTAGGGCAACTAGGCTGAGTAACTGATTCTAATCCATGTGAATCCGGGATAACCCGAAGCTAGGTTAGTGACTGAGGGTATATCGTTTCTGATGGGGATGAGACCCATAGGCAAATATGTTGGATTACTTTCTGGGAAGTCAACGAATCAATGTGGAAACCGATTGGTTTCCGATTTGGAAACAATCTACATTCATTGCTCGTTTCCCATCTCTATCTATACTAATTACTGCAGGGCACAGACTTAGAGACCGGTGAAATGAGGTAAACCTACTTACAATAGTAGATGGGGGTTCCGTGATTGTGTGAGGGGCCCTTTTCAATTGCTGAGATGTGAATTTTCAATATATAAAGACCCCAGACCAACCAGCTATAGACAGATACATTGGCAAGGACAGGTCAAAACTGATCCTGCAAAAATTGAATTGTGGATCTGGAAGTTGCAGAAATCGGGTGTGCGCATTTCAAGATAGCCATGTGTCCAGAGTTTACTCACCCACTGGACGCCGAGTCTCAATCTGCCAGGTGCAGGATTCTCTGTGCATGATCGAGTACTTGAGGTCCATCAACGATGTGCCAGTGCATGTGGTAGGGATATCCACAGGTGCCATCATTGCCACTTTGCTCTTTGGCAGCGCATGTGCGGTTGTAAGGTTGTTCAGGTTCCTCGACCAACAAGTATACCCTTTGGTAATCAAAGATGATAAACATGGCTGGCTGGAAATGCCCTTTTTTAATGGAGGTTCAAAAATCTAGAAATACTGGATTGTCCATTGCCATGTTTGATTTCCAGAGATCAGAGGGTATTGGAAATTTGCAGAAGACCGGGCCACTCTGGGTAGGGTAACCATGTTTGTTTGTCATTTGAGGTTTGAGATAATTTAAGATTTGATGTTTGTGTGGGTCATGTGGCCATTTGGCCACTCAAAATGATGTGGTCAACCTATAATAGTCATAGATAGATTATCGCAATGTCAGAGTTTCTGGGTCATTGCGAACCATACCCAATGTTTTTTGGTGTTTTCATAAATACATCCACCTCCAAATCAGGTGTTTTTAGGGCGCGTAGTCCTTGGGCCTTCAGATGCTGACAGCCCGGCTTGTAGCAAGACCCAATTTCATCCGAACATTCAACACCCTTAAACATCCCCTATATAGATCTATATAGCCTATATATGTAATATATTTTATATATATTATAGCCTATCTATCTATATATATATTCATATGTTTTATATTATGATAGATATTTATGTAATGTGGCCTTTGATCCCTTACTAACCCATGCTGGGGGATGTCTCTCGACAGCAAGGCTACGAGAGCAACAGCTGCCCAAGGTGACCCTGACGGCCATCGCAGGGCTTCTGGATGTGGAGTCTTTCGGACGCAGCGGGGCGTCAAACGTCGGTCGTGTCGGTCGTGCCGCGTGTTTTGGACGCCTCGGATAGTGATGGAGAATGTAGCTATGTGGATGATGACATCGATCATGATTGTTTTTTGTTTTTACAACATCTTTATATTTACATCTATAGATCAGTATTAATATATATATATATACAGAGTTAATTTAGTATGTTATATACATATATATATAGATATATTATAAGATATATTTATAGATTAATAATGAATAATATAAATATGTGTGTGAATGTATCATGTAGGTCGGATAATTGTTGTTCTGTTTACACATGAAACTATGGTTGGATCATGTTCACATGATTTTGTACAACCAACCATGCGCAGCCCACTCTCCAACGGCTGTTCGTAAAGGAAGGGCTTGCACTACGACTTCGATAAAGAGCAGTTGGCATCATTTGATTCCCAAGGCCCTGAATTGGTGCGACGTCACTGGAATGATGGGAATTTAGAAGGTATCAGGATGGTGAACTCTTAGAATATGTTCATATTCCCAAAGAATGACCCAATCTCCACACATGTGCCGTAGAGCTGAGCACCGGGGGCCCGCAACGTGTCCGGGTCATCCAATGGCCTCGCGAGGCTTTTGCTTCAAGGAGTTCTGGTTACCCCCGGGCTCCAGTTCCAACCCGCCCGATGCAGTGATTGCAGAAGTCCCTGAGGCGGCAGAGGTGCCAGAGCTTGGGTGAGATGGAGAACTTGTGGTAATTCAACATAGCTATAGGCTACAGTCAAACATGGTAACGTGGCAATGGAATATCCCTTATAAATGGCAGTTTTAGTAGGAAAATCAACTACGAATGACAAATGGCGGATTTTCTATTGCCGCCTTTGATTTCCGGAGGGTATGATAGGTAAGGCATCGAAATAGATGGGCCATGTTCCATAGTTAATTACTGTATATTCATTTGCAGGAGGGTAGTGCCTGAAGATGGACAGTAATTAGCACGAACTTGATTGATGTGAAATCAGCATACAAACACATGATATATATATATATACACACACCGTATATATATATATATACGCATATATGAAAGTAGCACCTCAAAATCCAGAATGCAGAAACTCGCGTGGCTGTACCAATTGTCATTTTCTGCTGTCCGTGACAGTCAGAGAAGTGTCCCAGGTGAATTCATGCTACTAAGTGGGTAACAACTATATTTCTATATTATACCCATAGTTTGGAACCATATATTTCAACCAATATGGGAAACCACAATGTGTGTATGTATATATATATATACACCCCAGTAATACAAGGGTTGTAAACCACTTGCGAATGCCGGGTTCCGGTTGCCAGGAGCCTTGGATAAAGTGTGCCATTCCACTGTCGGCCGCCTACCGTGGCCCGGCGCAAACGGTATGGATTCGGTATGGATGATATTGTCCCCATGTTTTTCCAGGTTTCCAACGGGTTACTATACCGAAAAAAACTATTTAAATCGAAGGCATATATATATATATTATAGACAGAGTATATATAATTCATGGGATATCACGGGTATCAATGAGAGATGAATGGGATCTGGAATGGACATAGGTGAATTACAACAACCTCACTGGGACATCACGGGAATAAAGGATGAGGATTGGGGCAAGTATCCCAAAATGGCCAAGCTCTTCAGATTTATGAATTATTAAAATTCAGCCAGAAGGATGAAAATTGGCATCAACATTTGGATGCCCTTGGGCGCGTGACCAAGATTGGATAAGTCAATTTGCTCACAGGTATTTGAAGTTTTGAACGACCCCTTTCATTTTGAGTTTAGGTTGCCTAGCTTGGAAAGATTCAGCCAGATGGCTCATTTATTTCTTTCTTAAAGTTTGACTTGTGGTTGTGGCTCATTTTTTTTGTTACCCCAAAACGGACGGTTGAAAAACATATTTGACAACGCATATAGATACTCTGAGACAAAAAGAAGTGTTTGTTTCCTTCATTTTTGGTGAACTCCATGGACCTTTGACATCCTTTGACCTTTTTTATCCCTGAATCATGGAGAATTTAGGTGAAGATTTCCTGACCTTGAACGTGGCAAGGGCTGCAAAAACCACTGGAACCCCCCTGTTGATCCTCCATGGGGACCGCGATCGCAGCGTGCCGTTGGAGACGCTTGGTGGATCTCGCTGCTACGGTGCGGACGCAGTGGGGAGAAATATGCAGATTGAAGTGGTATGCTGTGTAGTTTGCTTATGAATATGTCTGGAGATCAGATGATATCAGCTAATTATCAATAGCTCATTTTTGTCCAAGTCACACGCTAAATTGGACCTTATTGTAAACGACAGGGAATACAGGGATGGGATTTATGGTTCTAGGATTAGGTGGGTTCCATACCCATTGATATGTCATGATATGTCATGGCATTTCTCTGGCATGCGGAGTTGCTATACTGAACCCAGGCGCTGACACTTGCCCAAGTCAGGAATAGTGACGCGACATAGACTTGTTTCGACGTGGGATTTGGACCCATGTTTGAAACGTTTTCAAACTTGACCGCCAAGATGGTGCCCTATAGCTAAGTTAGTTTGTGGCTTAACCATTGGGTCTATATGGATTTAGGTGTGTATATATATATATATTACGTGTATATATATATATACATACAAGTAATATATATATATATATATGTATATCGATATATCGCTACGGGATGTACACCAACAAAAACAACTGGCTGCCACACGGTCGTCCCATGAAATCCTCAGGAATGGTGAGGAGTTGTTTCGCGCGGCTTCCGAACCCAAGGAGATGGTTCTTATTAAAGGCGGTGGGTTGGCGGCTGCGGCAGTTGTGAACTAGGGCCACTAGGGATCACCAGGGTACCAACTGAGTGTTTCTGAAAAAGTTTGACCCCAGGTCATCCAACTTGTGTTTGAACTCGTGGTGATTAATTACTTGGCTCATGCAAAAAAAAACAACGTATTTTCTAGGGAGAATCCTCCCTTTCTGGGGATCTTGGGGGATGGGCCACGGCAGGCGGCGACCACCTACTCAGAAGCTCCAAGACGGTCAGCCATCCGCTATGGGCAGTGGCTGTTGAGTACGCAGAAGCTGTCAATGAACTGCTTGAAGGGGAACATTTACAGGACAGCATACATTGTTTCACCAAATTTGAATACATAGAAGTTTCCACAAGTCCTTTCAAAGATGGAAAAATCATCAACAACAACATGGTAACTTCACAAGCAAGACTGTGAATAGCTGCACCAGCAAGAATGGGCTTGCTTAAGTCTTGAGTTAAGTTATTAGCAGTTTATCTTTTATAGGAGCTAGATTGGGTTTTTTCTTAATCGGTTGCAGTTCGGTCTTGGCTTTCTCCATTGTTTACAGCTTTGCGTTGTTTGTTCAGGAAATTTCAAAACAAGTAATTCAAGCCAACTTACTTGTATTTATTGCAAAGGGGTTGTTCAATAGCTACATTTGGCGTTCTCAAGCATATGTATACCTTGATGCTTCAGCAGATCCAAAACAAAGTCTTGCTTGTTATGGGGCAGCAATGCATGCGAGTTCGGCCATATTTTTTTTCCAGACACCAAGCTGAGGCCAACAAAGCGGCTACAGCAATTCTGGAGTTTGTGACCAAATGGGAATCTACTTGACCTATCTTGACCTGTCAAGGGGGTGAAGCTGTACACATTTGTCCACTGAGATTTTTAAGGTCCAAGTTTCATGACTGCAATCGCCTGCGCTGAGGAAGCTCAAGGTCAATATCCAGCTGGGCCAAAGAGTCCTGATCGCCAAGCGAATGACTGCATGGTGGAAAAGAATGCGCGCCCTTTAGGCTTCCAGCTGTTGTTGTTGGTGTTGTTGTTGTTGTTCATCAATGACAGGCCACAATTTCAAAATATCATGTCCTTTCTCATTATCCGTTTTTTCTCATATTAAATGATTAAGAAATCTCCGCCATTCGACTTCCCAAGGATGGGCGAACTGTCAGCCCTTCAAATCACCGCGGACGTGGAAAACCTCAGTTTCCGCTGGCGGACTTTGTTTGATCATGGAGGTTGACAGGGGCCCAAGACGACCCCCAACCACATTTTCACGTCTCCACCCGACTTTTTCCGGTTGGTGCTTTGGAACATTTGTCATTATATATTGGGAATAATCATCCCAACTGACTAATATGTTTCAACGGGGTTGAAACCACCAAACAGTTTTATTTTGACTCAAATAGGAAATGATGTGAGCCTTAGGTGCATGCGCGGGCCATGCGCTACTCTGAGATGTCCCAAGCGTTGGAGAAAGTCGGGGGCCGCACAGGGTTGGGCTACCCTCAACACTGAGGGTTTAACATGGTTTAATCGTCGAGAATTGTCGATTTATAGGGATTCAACCATTGAACATGAGGTGTCAACCTTGCGAAGTGCCTTCCGCCTACTATCGCCTACTTCTAAGGATGAAAATATGTGTATAAAAGATAGTAACTTTACTCTTAGCTAATGGAGGAACAACAACTAACTTGTTTGAAAAGGGACGCAGTCAAGGAAAAAACATGAAAAAACAACACAAAACAACCGTCAAGAATGGTGGCTTAACATGGTTTAATCATACTGAAATGGGGTGGTAGCCAGGCTAGCGATAAATGGTTGTACTCCCAATGTTTGCCGAACGAAACAAATGATCCAATATATTCCACCGTTTCCTTTGCGTCGTCGTTAGTATCCTGGCATTAGTGGATTAGTTTGGAAACAGCTGAATTCAAAAACAATTGGATGAGTGGAATGCAATTTTCTTGAAACCTGTATGTTGTATGATTTCATCATTGCCTGTAAAATATTTTGTTTCAATGAATTGCCTTAACCGATCCAATAACAAGCACTGGATTGTTGAACTTACAGTCAGTATGAGGGGGGTGTTGAACCTGATCTATAAATCTCAAATGGATTAGTATGCACTTATTTATTTGACGAGGCAATGTAGAATCATATCATAATAGCTAGGCAAGAACAACCAGCCAGAACTACACCAGGTTTCTATTTGGCCCTTGTGATTTTCCAGTGCCAGTTCTGTGGCTTTTCCGGGTTGTCCGGGCGCTTGCCGAGTTGCCGAGGCGTTGTCCTTGGCGGAAGTACTGGGGGACAATGTCACAGAAGCAAGTCCGAGGGCCAAAGAGATGATCATCCGAGTTTTTTTTTTCGGAACTAGGCAGCTGCCCTCCAGTAAACTAACACAGCTATGGAAATATGGACAATTGATAGATGATTTACTTATTGAATGATAGTTATTTTTCATAACTATGTTACATACCAGTGGGAAATCTTCTGTTCCAGGTTAAAAAACCAGCTCCCAGGCATCAGTCTCAGCAATCTTTTCTCATGGGCAGCTGCTAATTGGCACTATTTGACAGTTCATTTGCAGTGTTTGTGTTGGATATCATTTGCATATCCGTTTATCATGATATATTCATTAAAACTTGATGCATATATATATATTTATTTTTATACATATATATATATATTACTTGTGTCGTTTTGTTTTGATGTGTTTCGTTATTTTTGAGAGACTCATACCTTGGTGCTAGTTGCTCAAATGTTGATCCAATCCCTGCTTTCATCAACTTCCAAGGCCCAGGGTTGAACATGTTGACCAAACATGGCCTGACCAAGGCCTCCAAATCAGTTTCGCTCAGGTGCAGCATCCATTGATGCCGGTGATTCCTGGGATGACCCTAAATATCTTGAGATGGAGATCGACCCTCTGTTGGACCCACTGTAATGTGGAAATGGAGGAAATGGCCTTGGACAATCTTTGATTTGATGGAAACTGTGACAGCTTTGCCAAATTCCATGTTATGTATGTTATGTTGTTATATGTTTTTCGGGTGTAGGTCGTGCCCATGTGCTTTATTTTCACACCTCTTTCAGCGATTTTTCTCACTAGTGGCCAAGCTCAATTTGGAGCGAGGTGGGACTCGTGGCTTGAAATAGTATGACATGATCTTGAAATCATTACAGTACAGAGGCTTGTTTCAAAGAGGGCATGGGTGTTACCAAAGGAATCTCCTTATCCTGAAAAAGGCATAAGAATGTCCCTACGTTTCCCATGTTTTCCCCATCATTTCACTGGTGGTTTCACAGGCGCAGATGGGTCTCCTGGAAGTGTCCTCCGCAGCACCTGGCACTGACACCTTCAGAGATCTCGGCAACTCCGCAGCCAAGGACCGGCTATAAATGAGGGATAGGAATGACCATAGTGAGATATATTTATAAGATGTTATAAGCATTCCTTTTCGATCCCAAGGTGTTTTCCTTTATTTATATATCATATACGTTCATATTTGATGATACTTGTAGAAATAAGTATGTATATATATATATGTATACATAATTATACATATGATGCAAAGGCTAGACTCCTGGATATGGCGATTGAGGGAGAGAGAGAGAGAGAGAGGTATATATATATACATACACGTATAATTATGTTGTATTATATGTATTGCCCACAAATTGTTCAGTGGTAATTTATTTGTAGATCACTGAAATCATGTTGGCTGGTGGTTCCAAAAATTGGCCAATGCAGGGGGGATGAAACCAAAAATTGCAGGACTAGGAGTCTAGGACTGCTTTAATGCTGATTGAGTCGGGTTCAGTTTCAAGTCTCATGGGTTCTGCAAATAGTGGGTGAAGACATTAGCATCAATGGTCACCAGCGGACCCTGTGCCAGGCAGCCAAAAAGGCAGTTGCTCTTGCACGTCGTCAACAGAGGTTTGTGGAGCGATGTTACATGGGTTTGTTTGAAGATGCTGCAAAATGGTATGGTTGATCATGATTCTCCCTCAGTTTAGACAGACTCATATAACATGTTGGAATGGTATATACATATATATATAATATTTAAGTGGACATGAAGCGGGGCCAAATTATCAGATATCATTGGGCTGGTTCCAGTGTTGACATCTACGTCAGGAAGGAAAGTTTTAGGGTAGTAATGGAGTGGTTTCGAATCATTTCACTCATTTAAAATCTCCATCGCATCTCTGTGAACCTGCAATTTTGATGTGTTTTTATTGGTTGAAACCTCGAGCTTTCTAAGGATTTAGGGTTTAGGGTTTATGATTTTGTCTCTCTTCGAAAAAGATCGTGGTAGATAAGATTCGCAATTTAGTGAGTTGAAGCAGCAACGAATGGATGTTATTGTATCCCACTTTTTGGTTCAGAACACCTTGCCATGTTTGCCACATGTTCTTTGG